AATCTCTTGGCTATGAAGATCTACCGCCAACATCCCGCTGCAGGGCAGTGCTCGAGTGAATGTTGGTGTCCTGTAATACTAAAAAAGGTCTACTGTGCGGATTATAAAATGTGATAATAAATTACCAGGGGTGGAGCAATTTGGCAACCACAAAACGAGGTTAAGACACTCTATCCCAAGTATCATACTGGTACTTACATGCCAGTATAGCCTCATAGAAACACCGTTACGCAAAATGTGTAATATTGCATTATAATAATTAAGTATAAGTGCATTTATAATCCCGAATCCACTACTGGATAGAGGCCTGCCCATGCTTAAAGGTCATGGGGATTGTTTGACCTAACTCGTGTTTAGTTTGTCGTCCCCCCCCCCCGCACTTCCAATTAGCACGGTTGGCTACGTACGGTGTGAAAAAAGTTCAACATGAATGCTTCACTCTCGCCAGGGTGGGTTCGTGCGGCAGCAGCAGCAGCATGGGACCAGCTCCGATCTCACTCGCCACCCTGGCTCAACCAACGGCCACAACTCAAATTCAGGTCACCAGGTTCACACGGGGCATCGCGTCCACTGCTTCTGTCTGCGCTGTCCAGCACAAGGTGGTGCACTACTTACGTCGACGGAAGACTTAAATGTTAAATTGCCCGAAGGTACCCATAGCACAAATATCATTTGGGAGGGGAACGGGGGTTGACACCTTCAAAAATATCCAAAACTTTTGTATTACCAAAACACGTGAAAGCATCAGGACTTGTAGCACTCGTTTAAATGTGCGTCACCGTCGATCCACTGCTGATTGAAGACCTCTTGGTCGTGGGAGACCCTGTTTGACCAAACGCGTGCACCTCCGATTAGCGCGGTTGGATACGTACGGTTCTCGACTGGCTGTACACACATTGCTGGTCGGTGTCAGACACTCGCCACCTACGTTATTAGCCACAGCAGAGCCAACTCGGTGGGTTTGTAGCACAGCGTGCTGCACGCCACCAACACCAAACACCGCCCAACTTAAAGCATTTCAACCACGACCGTTAAAATGCTTGCAGGGGTCGGTGGAGGAGGGGGTAAGAGGTTTTAGAATCCACACCACCACCACCGCTACCACCGTGCGACGTTAAAAATGCACCACGTGTAAAGACCTCGCGCGCGCCTGTCTATTTTGACTGCTCCCCAAAACCCCGCAGAGGAGCATCTTGCTCGGCACAGGCGAAGCGCCTCTCACTCGATACCTTCGCTGGCACTGGGGCAGGACACAAACCCGACACCTCTGTACGAGACGCAGAGCATGCCTCGAACCTCGGCTAAATATAAAAACGCACATCCTCACCCACCACCACCATCCCTGCATCACTGTACACAAATACTTAAGATCCTCAAGGGAGCTCAGACATGAAAACGGTGGTCACATTCAGCGATTCGATGGGCATGCGTCACAGGTTAAAGCCGCGCATCCCAAAAAAAAAATCCTGTGCCGTACGAATACTTTTCCAACCCCCCAGTTAGCCCGCGTCATGCTCTAATAAAAAAAAATGGGGAAAGGCAAAGTTTTGGCAATTTATCAACAAATGGACCGTCCAGAGAAAATGTCACATCCCTATGGCAGGGGTCTCGTCCACCACACGAATCCGACACTCTGGTCTCGGCTTGCAACGGGACAAACTGCAGAGGCTGCCGGCTCGCCTTTCACGACAACGGAGATGCACAACGCTCATGGGTCACTCAAACCCAGGTCTGGACCTAGGCTCTCCGGGTCAAGCCTAGGAAGCCCTGCTGCACTTCGCAGAGTTCTGGCACCTTTACCCGTCTAAACAAATCTGTTTAATTGCATATTTGCTCCCAATGTTCTATTTGTACCATTTTAAAGTCCCCCCGCCGCCCCATTCTAAAAGTTTGTAGCGAGCAGCAAGACTTACCTGGTGCACACTTTATAATCCGTGCATTTGTTTTCTTGCACGAATGCAATTGCAACGCGTCCTTTAAATCACTTAAAAAGCACGTTACAAACATTTGGGTCTTGTCACCCCCTCCTCCCTACCCCCACCTCATGATAATTGAAAATCTGGCGAAACTACACGGCCAGATTGGAAGGCAGCCACGCAGCCTCCAACAATTGTCTCGGCTCTGTAGTCGTCTTAGACAGCCAATTAAAATAGCGATTTATGTGGGAGCAACCATTACAACCAACTCAGGGCAAGGAGGGAAAAAAAAGATTTAACTACACTTATTTGGCCAATCTTATTTGACAGACAACTATTACAGGTTTACCATGTTTAGTTGTTTTCTCCTTTTCACAGGTTGTCACAAACCGTACCTCTCCATAACAAAGGCTCACCCTCTTAAGCCTCCCCTTACCATATGAATAAAAAGTGTGCCCCCCCCCCATCTCCAACCATTATATAAACGGAGTGATTTTTATTTTATTTTTATTTTACTTTTATTAATTTTAATGTTTTACCTACGTGACTTTACCAAAAAAACCTAAGAATAAGAATAGGGAACACCATGTTACCAATGACTTTGTTTCAGTTTCATTTATTTGTTATAGCCCTGTGAGCCATTCGGCTCTTGAGTTGGGTGCAACCGCAATAAAAACATAAACACGAAAACCTATACCTTTGCTGTACCTGATCCTGACCAGTCAGGGTTGAGCAATGCCCACGGGAAAGTGAATTGCACAAAATGTTGACGCTCCATACCCTCCCCCTGCCTCCAGCGCTGGTTTATTTTCAGGCATGCAGAGCCACCAGCCAGAGCAAGCAGGCCATCGGCATGGCCAATCCAGTGAAAAGAAAAGTTAATACGAAAATATAAAATTGGCTCAAATGATGGCCATCACATGGGAAAGATAATTTCAGGGGGATTTTGCACGACCAATTAATTGGTGGATTGCTTGTGTGATGCCGCCGCCACGAAGCCGTTCGGCAGGCACCAAATCCCCGACCTCGCCACCACCAAGCAACGGAGCCGACCCCGCGTCTCCCTCACCTCACCTCACATGAACACACCCGCACTCATTTCCCACCCCCCCCCATAGAGCTCCGAGGGGAGGTCGTCTGGCCGACCGGTTTTTATCCGAGAGACCCTTATCGGGATTAATTCTCACGGTTTCCGGCGATCAGGGAATTGGATGACCTCCCTCGTGCTACGTGGCACCGCGGCGCTGCTGCCGGCCTTAATATGGTGTGGTCGCGGCGTGGGGCATTCGGCCACCGCGGTTGAGGCGCATTTCCCCCCACACACACTCCCACGGGTCGACGGGGCAAGCAGGGGAGGCACGAGACAGCATGAATAGCGGGGTCACAGGGGCTGTTGCGCATAGGCATGGAGGGTTGGGATAATTGCGCTTGAGCGCGCAGGCCCCATTGTTAGGAAGGGTAAGGGAGCAATTAGGATGTACGCCGCCAACGTCGCTCACTGATTAGCATATCAACAGCGCCCGGGAACCGCCGTGCGCAGGCTTGGGGTGCACGAGCCCATTGTTCAGCGCAGCATCCCCTTTGAGGTAGGGAGGATAAATAGAGGGGCGCAGAGGGAAAATAGCTCTTCTCTCCAGCGCCAGGCGACAGGACGCTCTCCAGTCCAGCGACCCGATTGTCCGTGAGACGCATCGAGATGCGCTGCGAGCACGGGATCAACGAACCGCCGTGGGCATCCAGCAGGAAGTAAGTAGGTGAATTAGAATCATAGCAGATGAATCGGGAATAGGTATAAAGGTATCAGCGTAGGCCAGCCTCGTCGACTCACTGATTTAACATTAAATTACCAGGTATCAGATAATAAATCATTAATAGCGAAGCGTGGTCTCGCGTGATATTGTCGTGCAGTGTGAGCGTGTGGGTGCGCGTGTGTACACTGTGGTTCACCACGTGAGTGAGCGCTGCGTAGAGCGGCGCACGAGTGGGTGTCGCGTGTGTGCAGGTGTGTGCGCTCGTAGTGTGGGTGAAGGGGTCGGTGCGTCCGCAGGTCCCCGATCCGTCTGTCGCCGCCGGGACTCGCGCAGTGTGAGGGCAGCGTCGTTCGCCCCCGACCCCCGTTTAATAGCGCGTGATCCGTGGAGAGACAACGCAGCGTCTGCAGGTGAACGAGGGCGTGCGGCGAGCTATGCCTCTCACACGAGCTCGCGGAGGGACGGACCAGGGAGGGGAGCCGTCGGGCGATGAGCCCAGCGACGGCAGCAGCTGCTCGCAGAGCAGCGAGGGGTCGGCGCACGGCGGAGCCCCTGCCATAGGCACGGAGCAGGGAGGGACTCCGGGGACCAGCGGCCCCAACACTTGACCAAAACAGTTGGATAAAATCCTGTTCCGGTGTGTTGTCGGATGGGCAGGTGATGCAATGGGGACGTGCCATTGTACCAGAGTCGGGCTTGGCGTTTCTGCTTTCAGGATGCAGGATTCCTGAACATCGAACATCTGAAGAGCATTATATAGCACGAGCCCTTTACCCATCCAAGGACGGGTGGATTGCAGTAAATCTGAAACTTGCAAGCAAAAAGCAAACCGCCACGTGATATTCATTGCATTAATGCGTGTGCAATTTGTAAAGGGCGCAGTGAGACCTATTTAATTTAAAGGTTATACAGTAATCTCGTGTTCATCATGTCCTTTTTACTTTGACGTCTCAAGAGCGTTACAGAGATCACGTGACGCGAGGGTTCTGCCTTTTTAGTGAGGGTTGTAAGTTGACCTTGAGGGGAGAGAGGCACCTTGCCCCCCCCCCGTGGAGTGACGTCATCCGCTAATATTAATGGGGCGGGTGTCCATTGGAGGACGTCACCTGTTCATGATTATTAATTAGGGGGCTGGTCGACGTGCAGTGATGTCACACGAAACAGACATTGTCTTAGTAAATAATCTGATTCCAACAGAAATATTCTGATTCTGGATGGTGGGGGGGGGGGGGGGGTGCGGAGGGTCACCCATAGATTTGTTTTAAAATAACTAGACCCCAGGGTTGTCCAGTCTTCCGTGAAGCCCAAAAGAAAGCACCGGGGACCACAGAAGTGAAAACCGTTTCTTTAATAAGAACTTTGTACAGTTGACGAAGGAAGGACAGACACGGGTGTCAATTTTTCACATTGTGCGCAACGCCGCTTGCTTCTTTCGGACCAACGGTAGGGGAGCGTGTAGATTCCAGTAGTTGCACAAATCATGGCAGGACAAAAATTATAAATAAACCATACACAAAGCACAAATAAATACACTCTGGCTCAATAAGTCAATGGCGAATTATCATTTGCAAAAAGCAAAATCCACCCGTTTTCAAATTGCCAAACTTTTCAGTGATTCACAGAACAATGTACAGCGATAAGCCACGTTTATGTACAGCAGAAATTGAAATTTTTTTGCACAAGCAAAGCACCAAGTCATTTATTTTTTCATTTTCGTACAAAAAAAGTTATCCCTTGTCCAAACCCATTACTTTCACCATGCACACCACTGGTCAAAGCCACCGATTAACCGCCACCAGTGGAGGTTTAAGATGGGCCACGTGGCATCAGGTTGAGGCTGCAAGCAGGCATCACCATCTTGGAGATCCGTGCAGGTGGATTAATTTAAGTATGCGAAGTGCAGTGGCTTCGCAGACCAACATTACGCGGCTAAAAATGTGTACAATTATCCAGTGGGTAGACACTTTAACGTCAATAACTTATTGCTGCAGGAGGCTGGAAAAACCTCTAGGTAGAACGACCAAGCCTCCCAACCTGAAGTTGTGAGCCACAACCGACTGCAATTAATGACAGGGTTGACCGTTGCAATGCACACTGGGGGTGTACCAGCCCAAGGCATTTGCAGCTTGCGTGTACAAAACAATGTCATTGGAGAAAGGTTCTCCAGTTAAGATTGTTGCTGCATTCGCACCAGAGAGGGAGGGCGGGGGGGGTGCCACCAGGGACATGCGTGGACATACTAGCGCCAGAAAAACTACGTGCGTTTGGTGAGCAAAAGACAAGCCATTCAATTTACAGCTGGAAAAGGGAGGTAACAAGAATTGAGTAGGCTACTGCAAGACAAGGCAGTCTGATAAATACTGTACCACACTAGAATCAACCTCAACGTAAGGGGGGGGGGGTGAGAAATTTTATTTTCGTATACTAGCAATAGAAGATGCATTGGCATATTTAGTTCGGGAGCTTAGGTTGCTTGCACCACATGGATTTCATGTCAAATGCACCCCACAGACTGGGAAGCGTCCAGAATGGATTAAAAAGAGGCTCGCAGGCATACGGAGTGAAACGGCCAGTGCCAAAAACGCACAAGGTTCAAAACAATAAAAGCCACAACATGCAGGAGGCACAAGGCCCAAGTGAGAACCTATGCAGGAGTTAAATTCTCTAGCATGGGATGTGGCCACGGCTCAAATCGTGCACCTTGCATCGCAGCCCCTAGAAATGCACCTGCCGGAGCCTTCAAATTGCACAATATTTTTACTGGGAAGAAAAAACTAAATTGGAGGGAAGAGGCAGATTTGGTTTTTGTTGCATGAAACTAGTCTACACAGCTTCAATGTTGCAGCCAGCTGGGTGTATAGATATAATTGATAAGACAAATTACCCGAAAAGTTCCCTTTTCAACCAAGTTATTAAACAAAGGACAAACTTCCTCCCTGCTAGTGCAACAAACACATGAACACAAACCACCAGTGCTTTGTTAAGGTTGGAGGTGTGGAGGGATGGGAGGGGTTGAATTGATACATCATGTCACTGCCGACAGCCACAGGAGGAGAACGCGTCGCTCTTCACTCATCGTCTTCTGTGCTCACCGCCACCAGCTGGGAATAGAGCAGCGACAATCAAGGCAGCTGCAACGCACACAAACAGGCAAGGTTGTGGTTCACGGAATTTGAGCCAATGCCCAAAAACCCAAATACAAAGACAACCTGCAATTCAATTCCTGTTTCAGCAAACGGTTGGATGGTCTGGATTTAAAGCTTTCGTGACTGCAGGGATTCATATTCGTGGTTCTTTCGGTAAAGGTCAAGGATATGGTTGGATGGGTCATTACATAATTTCGGTCTGCGTCTGTTTTGGCGAGCTTGGCTCTGACGGCAGGGAGCCTCACCGGCGGGTAGACGTGGCCCACAGAGGGGGCGAGCGACGCGTTGTGGTCCAGCGCAAAGTCGTCGTCCTCTGTCGTCTTTCGATACACGGGGTTGTCAAAGTTCATGCTCTTGGTGTTTCTCAACTTCCAGTTCCGCCAAAGGTAGAAGCCAGCCACGCACACCATGGCCAAGATCGCTGCGGTTGGGTGGGGCGGCATGTACTGTGTTAAGGTATCAGACTTGCTGTTAGCCACCAGAGGATGGATGGAACAGAACCCAACAAGGGGTTGACAGAAGAATCTCATGTACATGAATACCACAGCAGGGTGAGGCGGCATCAAGATAAAGAATGGGGGGGGGGGGGGTCAAGAAGTCTGTGCACGATAAAAAAAAGTCAAATAAGCTGCTGCTACATGTGCATGACCAATCAATATGCCCATGACCACATCAACCCTGGGGTCTGATTTCAGAAGTAGAGCCAGGGTTGGGAAGCACAATTGTTGGGCCATGCACGTGGAGGTGTTGGTCAGAGATCCAAAAGGGGAGCCAGAGTAAATAGAGTTTGTGAAATGCATCTGTGCAGAGCATCAAAAGTCACATGTACACAGGTTCTCTGGGTACTCAAAGTTTCTTCACATTGTGCCAAAACATACCAACGTTGTAGCAGGATGCTTGTTCACTGCTCAAGAGTAGCAAGGGAGGGGAGGGAGGCTGGGGCAGGCAGCCACTCACCCAAAGGGATAAGAACCCCAACCACCGTGGAGGCAGAGCCGCTCTCCGATTCCGCGTTGGTGGAAATTGACGGAGCTTCCGTCGACAGCCAGGCCCCCAGCCAGCCCCTGTTGCCTGCAGCTACGCAAAGATTAAAATATTCGTAATCAGTGGCAGGGTACGGAGAGATGTTTTAAACAAATGTGACATGCGTCATCCTCAGTTATGTTAAAAACATTCATCGTACCAGCCTATGCACCTTAGCCAAAGCAACCGTGGCAATGTGCAAGGCCTCAAAACAATGAGAAAAGGCAAGAGATGGAACACGTTTAATTATGGCAAAAGCAGTGGAAGCACTGGCAATATGGCGAGTGGAGCTACCCCCCCCCCTTTTTGACAAGAGCAACCAATGAAATAGGTGGTTTTCCGCAGCAGCAGGGAAAGTGACTGGCAGTAGATGCTTTAGTGAAAAATACAAAAATTTCAGGCAATGTGGTGGTTCATGGGCAAGCAGTCATTCCTGCATGTCAAAACAAAGCTGCAATTTGGTTCTCTTAGTTCTAGGACTGCCCCACAAGCCAAAAAACCACATTTCCTAGCGCCACTGGCTTGAGCTAGGGGATGGAAAGTCCTCCCTCGTTACCCACCGACTGCTTGTGGCATTTCCCTTTTTGAAGCAATTGAAGCAGATTTTTGCCCACCAGTTGCCACCTCGGCACTTTTAGGTGCATAAAATATCTGTCTTCTAGCCAAGGGTGACTTAACCTGGCAAGGGTTTCAAAACTGTCAGTTTCATTACAGGCAGCATGGATGGCAAGCAGTGGATTTGTGGTGGGGGGGGGGGGGGGGGGGGGGGTGTGGTAGGAAAGACAGCTCACTGGGCACTTTGTTGCACCATGGTTAAACAGGCACACTTACAAGTCAAGTTTAAATAATGAGATTTTGATGTGACACGGAAGATCAATTTTCACACCATTATTGTAATAGCGCTCCAGCGTGTTGGCCATTGTGTGCACGGAACGTGCTGCGAGCCAATTGGTAGTCAGGCAGCAGAGGTCAGTAGTGGCGTCTGAGGTGCAGTAATAAAACTAAGCAGCAACTCTCCACAAGCCATTTTGAAAGATAGTCCACGTGAATCTCTCTTGTTTAATATATGCCACTTTTCAAGACCAACCCCCCCTTCCTCCACATGAGGGGTACGTGTATTTAGAATCTTAGGAGACATGCAAACTCCAAATACAGGCGTCAAGGTCACGATGGAACTCACGACCTCCTGTACAAACAGGCAAGAGGGGAGTCACCTTAAAAATGACAATGGCATTGAAATGGTGGTGGGGGGGGTGTTTACACATGCGATCAAAGAGCACCAGCCTCAAGACAGTCAATTATCAAAAAAAGCAAGCCATGCTCACGCAGGGTGGGTATGCCGGGGGCGGTTGTTTCCATGGCGGGCATGGCAGCCGTACTACCTGGGCCGACGGCGGGACCTGGGATTGGGGCAATCTCGGCGTTGCTGGTGGGTCGCGCTGCGGTGGACACTGCAATGGTGGCTTCGTGTTAATGGGGTGGGGAGGCAGAAAAAATGGTGTTAGCACAAGGGTTATCATGGAGTCCGTTATAAAAAACCACAACTATTTGGTGTATAGCTCTTGGTCAAGTCAGTTGCCAGACAAGGGCCTCCCCACATACCATGTCCGTTATTGAGTGTTAAATTTAAAGCCACTGGTTAGTGGGGGAGCATAAGTACAACGGATTGAGCCATTGGCAGTCCACATCCCAGAGTCCCTCAAGGCAAGACGCAACTTGTTTAAGAGCCTTGGCCATCCCCTAGTCAAGCAATACCCAGGCTTAAAAAACCTGCTTGGCTTTCAAAGCAGGTGCAGGTGAATTGGTCCATGGGACCAGATGGCTGAGATTACCAAATTAAAAAAATATTTGCACAAGACGAGCATCGATTGTATAGAGTTTCTCTACCACTACTTTCACTTTCTTCAAAAAACAAAAATACAAAAGAATGTTTGCCAGGGCACAAATGCAGTGAAAGGGGGTTACCGGCGCTGCAGGTTTTTCCGTCGGGGTTGAGATGGGAATTGTCGGCACACGCGCAGGAGAAGAGCGGCAATGCAGCACCGACTTGTGGTGCCGGCAGACAGAGATACTCGCAGCCACTGCCCTCGCAACGATTGGGGCCTACAGGTGCACAGCAGGGTGTGTGTGTAGGGGTGGTTGAAAACATTGGGGAGTTACAAGTGCATAATTCCAGACCAGCAGTTCCTTATTATACAGTTGCTGCCAACTTGCATTATTGAAAAGATGTCTAACGAATGTACGGCACAGCATAATTTTAAACCAACATTACTATACAATTTTGCACATTTGAACATGCAGGTAGTACTGCCTGCCCAAAACAGCACATCGTGTAACATATTAATGCATGTACACAGGTGTAACTCACCTGATGCAAAGTACATGCATACCATTACGAATGGCACAAACCTGAAATCAAGAACAAATCTTAAACGTTGCCACTACACCAACCACCAGTCTAACTTTATTTGGGAGGCATATTTTTGCAAAAACTACCGCAAGCACTGCATTTGAACAATCTTGCAGCAGATAGCAGCCTTGATGTGTCCTTCTGTAGTATCAGCAGTACATAACGATACTACTGAAGATAGTGATGATCAGGCGATAGACACCTGATCTTTAAGACTCTGCACATCTGAAAATACTAGATAAAAACACCCTTCGATGGCAATTTACAGAAATGACCTGGGGCAGCTTTGCTGAAGATGCTGTGAACTGCTGCAGTCGTAATCTACTCTGTGGAAGTCGCAGCACTCCAGGGGAGTTGTTTCCCCCCCCCCACCACTAAAACGTAATGTGCATTATAACCGGAACACCTGAAGCGGTTTGAATTACACGATGTAAAACACGATTTGTTCCCGAGTAGTGCAAGTGTTATTTTTAATTGCTTATGCCTGAAAAGTATAGAAAATGGCTATTATTCCCCACAAACTTTGCAAACGAAAGACAAACGCACACGTGCTCATTGAAAAAGAGGCAAATGTCAAAATATTACCATCTTGGTCACAAACGCAAAGTTAGTGGGGAATAGCCATTTTTTTCTCTACTTTGGAGGCATAAGAAATTAGCAAAACATACCCAGGGACGAAACAAGTTTTGTTAGCGGTAAACAGGAAAGTGCAAACAGGAGTTCACACTTTTTTGGTAATGAAAATGATCTACCCAGACAAGATCTCAGGTGTACCTTACTGCCAACTCAAAGTCCTGACTCCCAATTGCAGAAATTGGGTCGCCATCATTACAATCTCAGATCTGGAAAAGCTGGCAAACAGTGGACCAATGCTAACATACAAAAATAAAAACGCCCCATTACAAGACTGAAAACATCAAAATCACACCCTCCAGGCTATGGTTCCACCAGCATCCCTTTCAGGAGCAACGTCACAGTACATCGGAACAGTAGGCCAATGTACAATCTGGTCTGTAGAATGGCAAAACTAAAAAAACAAAGCCATGGTAGTGCAACTGTGGCCAAGCAACCTAAACTATGGGCTGACAAAACACGTTCCTTCGGAGTGGGCAGGTAGGAACTTGGTTGGACGGCGCATTCGTGCGATCCGTGTCACGCGGCGCAAGCTACGTGGGGCGGCGCGTCACGTGGTGCCGAGCCCGCCCGAAGCGCTCCATGAAATACAAATTGAGGGCGTGGCTATGCACGACAGACAGACAAATAATCCCTGGTGGGCAGTGTGGAACTGTTGTTCCTACCTGTATAAAGTAAATTAATGTAGTCTGTGCTCCTTTAGGAAGAAAAGCAAATTATGAGCTCCTGGAGTCCTCATTGTAGCGAGCAAACAGTGTCACTTAGCTCCTAAACAGATTGCTGATACACAATATGATGGTGTATTATTGCTCACTGGCAGATCAATTGCATACCACTGCACGAGTTGGGGGGGGGGGGAAGCACTGGTTTAGACAAGTCAACATTTAAAGTAAAAAAAAAAATCGCAATAAGACTTTTAGAGGAGCTTTAAATAACTGATAACACTGGCAGCTGTTCAATGTTACGAAACAAGCCGTTGGCACCGGCCTGTTCTCGCCAGCTGTTTCTCAGCGCTCAACTGTGGTTAGACGCATTAGCAGTAATTGACCGTGCTTAAAAACAAGCATATGGCAGTCCTGTTCAACAGGAGCAGGCGATGGATGGGAAAGCAAGGAGTTGCTAATACCGTAGACAATTTTCTCCCAAATTATTCAAATTAGCGGCAGTGTGATAGCACGAGATGAAGTCGGACTTGTAATTGGAGAGTCTGTGGAAGCAGGCAGAGCGACCCCTGAATTGCCTTCAAAACGAGTGCCGATGCGTGCACTAGCAGAGCAGCACATTGCCATACGCGCTGCCTCACGTGCAATGTTCACCAGTGATCAATATTTTTTTAATTCGGCACCAACCAACCATGTAGAACCCAATTGAACCCATTAAACACCAACTCCTCCAGATCTCTTGCAAGGCAGCACAAGCATTTCATATTTTTGGAAATTCCCATGGAAGCAATACTACAGAATCACAGCAGATTCCTTCAAGTGACCTCCCAGTAAAGGGGAATCACTTTGCACACCCACCCTGCAAAAGCATGCATTTCAACCCACGTCTCACCTCACAAGAGGTAATTAAAGCCAACGTTAAGCATATTACCAAATGTAAGTGTTTGCTTGACGCAGTCATTGGCGATTCGGCAGATAAACTCATTTCATTTGAGAGCCTTATTTAAAAATAATTCACACGGCAGCCAAAGACCAGGATTTGAACCCATGGAACTCCTGTAGTGCCAACCACTTGAACCGAGCCACTTCACCTGGAACACTATACGAGCCAGGTCCAAATCTGTTTTAAAAAAAAAAAAAACCCGTTAACACGGAGTGGCAGCACAGCACAGGCGTGACGTGGGTGGTGGTGTGGCTACCGCTGGGCTGCACGAGGGGGTGCACCACCACGATGTCCTGAGGGCTGTGGAGGTTCTCGGCGAGTGCACGGCGGCCGCCGCCCGTGAACTTATTCATGCTGAAGATGGCCTCCTCTTCACCATCCGTCCAGTACACCTTGTCCTGGACGTACAGAGCAGCACAGCAGCAGACGGTGGTGGGTGGGTGGGGCGACAGAATCGTGATCCAGGTTGTTTTTGGTAACCAATTACTTCGCGTTCACTCCGAACAGAACAAATTAAACAACTTGTTCCAATCTAGCAGAGGGGCCCACCCATGGAAGGTTCAGATAAAAAAATTGAAATGCCAATTCTTGCCGTCAGGTACAAAGCGGCACAATTGTAAACTGTTCAAATCGTAGCGGGCAGACGCTAAATAGTTGAACAAATGAGCAATTATAAAAACACGAATCGTGAAAGTGTACATCTGTAAAGTGGTGCATTTCATCCATTAGACTTCCAAATGCACCACTGTATGCAAAGTAGGCTATAAAGAACCAGGAGGGGTAAAAGGCCCATTTCTGCACGTCTGATTTACAGATTCAACCATGCGGTGAGCGAGAGGGTGGCAGAGATGGCTCTCACCTCGAATACGGCGATCGAGAACGGGTGCAGGAGATCATTGTAGGACGCGAGCACCGTAACACGGTCCTGCCCAGACGTGTCGACGCTTGAGAGAGTGTGCAGCTTCGAGTCCACCCAGTAGAGACGACGGTTTGCCAAGTCTGCACAAAAGCAGTAATAATAATTAAGCAAACGATTGCCCCCTCCCCTCCCTCTTTTTAGGTAATGCCAAACCAGTTATCAAATGTTTGTTGTTACATGGCAAATCTAATTATAGCCAGTTTCCCCAGTGAGTTTGCAGAGACCCAGAATGCATCAGGGAGGTGCAGGTGAAGAGTACAGAAATCTTCTTTTATAATTTAAGTATTTTAGTAATCTCAAAAGCAGCTTGTTAAAAAAAGCGTTCCAAAATGAAAATAACTCCTACCCAAAGCACATACGCAACTTAGAACTGCAAGGAAAGGGTAAAATCTCTTCCCTCGCAAACAAACACTTCAATGCCCAAGACATCAACCTGTGCTCATGGACGCCCCCTGGGGGTGTACACGAGTGCACGGGTGAAAGAGTGCGCAAAGCACACCCAGAGCGATCCCGTTTGGCCACTGGATGTTGTGGGTGACGATCGCGTGCCGGTTGGCGCCATTCATTCCGGCCTTCTCAATCTTTGCCGGCTCGCCCCAGTCCGACCAGTAAAGCCATCTAAACATGAGAGGCGGCATAAAAAGTAACGGTTAACAGGATGCCGAATTTTATGCATCCAGGTGGCTAATGGGTCTGCTGTGATCCTCACCCTGGGCTCCAAGGCAGGTGTTTAACTAAACGGCGTTTCTCGTGGAGAGTTGATGGATCAAACCACTTGGGGTATTACAATTATACATTTTACTTAAAATCCATGAATTCAGATGAACATTTTATACGCCGTACGCTACAAGGCAGAGACCGTAAATGTTTTAAACAATATGGCCAAGGCCCAATGAGACAAAAAAAAAAATCGGCTTAAAAAAGTTAACCTGCCATGGTCGTTCCAAAGAAAAATGAGTGGAAACTCAGAATTTGATGGTCACGAAAGTATGGAAACAGTTAAAGGGGGCAAAAATCGCAGGAATAAAATGCCCCGTAGAAAAACAAGTGGGGAGGCAGCAAGGGAGGGCTGACCCAGCAATGGGGTCCACCGCAATAGCACGTGGCTCCTGCAGGCCGCTGTCAAACAACTTGCGCCGCCGCCCGTCCATGGTGGCCACTGACAAGGTCTTGAAGCCAGAGTCGGACCAGTAGAGAGTGTTGTGGATCCAGTCCACCGCCATTCCCTCCACAAAGCTCAAGCCTTGCGCAATCACCACCGCGTGGTTTTTAGAGTCGCTGGCCTTGCCGATCACGGCGCTGCACGCGGGCAAAACGAAAGAACCGAGGTCACGTGATCACGATGAGTGTTACGAAAATTACATTTGACAAATCGTTGGCACAAATGTCAACAAGTGCCATTCTTATATAGCAGAGTATTTTGCAGATTCGTATAACTTACCAGTACGGCGAAATGTAATTTATGGCATGCATTGCTCATTTTAACTCAATTTACAGAAGGGGGACGGGCGAGTATTTTCATTAACACATTTGTATTGTTAAAAAACAGGCGTGGCATGTGGTTTAAACAGCCAGCCTCCACAAGTGGCAATTGCGCCACCACTCGGCCAGGTCACCGAACCGATGTTACGGAGTGCAGGGGCTGCCATTCTGAATGGCAGGGCAAAGGACAGGAGACGCTCAGTCTCAGCAGTGATAGGACTTCGTTTGGAGCACCGGTCAATTCGAATTTAAAACAAACGTCTGTGGCTTAAAGGGGAAGTGCTGAGTTACTGCTGGGGGTGGGGGGGGGGGGCAGAGAATGTTAGCAACCACATCAACTAGAGAGTTGACATGGCATGTGTGAGGATAGTGATGCAACAACTTGTGGATGGAACTGAAGAATTGAGCAAACGGAGTTCTAGCTAACAACGGCACGTCACAATCGATCAGCAGCCCGCCACTTCAACTAACGTGGCTACGTATTGACACTCCTCATTAGGTGTCGAGGCCTTGCACTGCCAGTGTGTTGAAAACAAAACAATCCCCCATATAGCCTTAGACGGTTGGGGCAAGTGCTGTTAAGGAGAGCATCTATGAAGGCCGGCATGGCACGCGAGGGGATGGGTGGCCAACAAAATTGCGTGGCTACCTTCATCTCCAGTCCTACCGTTTAAAAAAAGTTAATTGCACCAGGTACTCATGGCCGAGTCGACCCAGGACAGGTTCGGCTAATCTTTAACTGGGTTATGGTCACGAGCAGGAAGTGAACGCCGGGTTGCCAGGTTCATAGCATGCTATCAACTCGCCAGCAGGGCAAAACACACGTCTGGCCACCACCGCTGGTACCCACTAGCAATTTGGCGTCACAAAAAAATCAGTCTAAGAACCACGGAGCAATTCCGCCACATCCCAGGGACCACAACAGCGGTACACACACACCTGAGGATGAGCTTCTGGTGTTGGTCAGACCACAGGATGGTGTTGTTGGAGACGTGCAAGCTCAGCGCCACCGCGTTGCGCGTGCGTGGCACCACCTGCGAGTACTCGTTGCGCGCCGTGTCCAGCTTGCGGATGTCATGGCGGTTCGTGAAGATCACGTACGGTTCCTTGCCTGTGGAGCGCATGTGCGCGAGGAACACCAGTGTCATTATGAAATGGATTCACAAGGATTGTTTTTTAAATGCAGAAACGTTCGAGTGGAAATGGACAAGATGCGTCATCGTGATCTGCCGAGATTGGAGATGGCCCAAAAGTAATCTTCGAGTGAATTTTGAGAAGGGAAATCTGTTACGCAGATGAAGAGTGGGACAAGACCAACATGTTACACCCTCCCCCCCCCCCCCCCCCTTACCAGTCATGCCACCACATCCAAAAGAAAAATATCCTCCTTATAGCCTTAGACTTTTGGGGTACGTGCTGTTTAAGCAAGCACCTATGAAGACCAGTATTGTACACGGTAGGTAGCCAGCACTGCATCCAACCACTTGTTTCCTTCGTGGCAATGTTTATATAATTGCACCAGGTACACATTTCAGGCCGAGTCGACCTCGGGGAGGCTTAGGACCAGTCCAGATAGTCACCGGTGTTGGTTACGAGTGAGAATCAAACCAATTGCTGGGTTTGTAGTGCAACATGCTATGCTACCCTACCGTGTCTAAAAAAACCACATGCCTACACAGCTAAAAGTCAGAGCAATAGGTTAGGGTGCCGCAATCTCCCTCACCGAGAGCCTTGCAGGCGCCAGTCTTGGGGTCCAGGAGGTAGCCGTTGAGGCACTCGCACTTGAAGCCTCCCTTGAGGTTGACGCACACCTGGCTGCACACGCCCACGCGCTGGCACTCATCCACATCTTGAGCGCCAGCAACCACAGAGGGGGTGGGCGCAGGCACGCGAATACAGGATGCATGCCAATTACAATGACGAATATTTTTAAGGTGCATTTTATCAAAGGATCCCAATGCGCCATTCATCTAAAGCAGGAAAGAGTGGAAGACCAAAACTATGGAAGAATAAGGTCATTTTAAAAAAGGTGGCGAATTCATGGCAAATTTGAATAGCATTGGAACTTTGCCATTCAGAATTCTATAGTCTTGGAACTGCAATCATCCCAAGTATGGAGCCTTGACCTCAGAAGATCAAGGGCCTCATTGGTGTATAAATGTTAATCAGTCTGATTATACCTTCCTCGCACCATCATAGAATCCAAATGTTAAGGACATTATGTAAACCTAGAAAATAAACACCATAACCACAGACTCAAATATAAAAAATATTATTTAGAAATCTTATCCACCAAAATGCATCTGCTAAAACGCGAATCGCATACGGGTGGGGCTACACGAGTGTTCACTGCGGTAGCCACAATGGATTCGTGCAAGGCCGCCTGAAGGCCAGGTGTAAACTGAAAAAGCCAAGCGGTGGAAAGCCATGGAAACCTCGGATACCAGGATTGTACAAATCCAAAAACATCCAGGACTGATAAATAGCACATGAAAAAAATTACAATTTGGCAGCTTGGACAGATATCTAAATAAGATTTCAATCATTTGGAGAAAAGGGTTGCACTTAAGCATTTCAGTAGAGACCACACAATACAGACCTACGCAGACTTTCCCATCTACGAGCTGAAATCCCGGCAGACACTGGCATTCGTAGCCAATCTTGAGATCCTGGCAGATCGAAGAGCATCCTCCATTGTCGCGCAGGCATTCGTTCACCCCTGGGCAGGGGAAGAACGGACAAGACTGATTGCAGTAAATGATTTTGTGCCCAGTCTATAGGATGGGAGGGTAGGCAGAGTGGTAAAATTGTTCACTTTGAACTACAAACCAGCCAAGCACAACACAATTCCTGGCCACAGCCGACAGTGGCAAGCTGTTTGCGATCAAAGCAGCAGGATAATAGCACCCATGACCCATCCCCACAAGTCACATTTGGCCACATTTCCTCTCCACCCCCTTACACTTTGTTTGAGCAGATCTTTTAGCCATTCCAGTGCCGCGCCGCAGTGCATGGGCGGTGAGGAACAAGGGAGCAGCACTCACCACACTGGCTGCTGGGTTCATCAGAGCCATCCCTGCAGTGGCTGGTGCCATCGCACACCTTGGCGGGGTCGATGCACTCCTTGCTGCCGCACACAAACTGGTCCGGTTCACAGTCTTCGGCTGTGGTCATGGAGTGGGGTAAAAATGGTGTTCAGGAGATCCACACAGACGAGCACAATCCATGGGCAGATAGCCCATTAGGTGTCCACTGCACATTGTAATTGGTTTTCACTTTCCTTTATCTTGTATCAATATGCTCAATTAGTGTACATTTCCCCAACAATCACTTTTGCCAAGACACTCCCCAGTATCTCTTCCCTTCCCTCCACCCTCCTGAACACACATTTCCCATTGGCAAATCATGCAAAATAGTAAGTAAAACATTGCATAGATATATATTTACACACACACACTTTAAAACTACCATTGCAAAAGGCCACAAAGTGCCCAGTCAAATTTGCGAGTGAAAGTTCTAACAGCGATGTGGATGTGCTTGTTTTTAAGGAAAAAACAAAACAAAAAAACACACCGACGCAATTCCCAGAGGACAGGAGCTTTAAGCCTGGCTGGCATGCACATTCGTAGCCGATCAGGAGGTCCCGACAAATTGAGGTACAACCACCATTTTTCACCAAACACTCGTTAACACCTGGAGCAACACACGGCGGGGAAGGGGTGGGAAGCAGATTAACAGAGTCAAGAAGGCCAGGGATAGTGGACAAATTCATCTTTCAAATAGGGTCAGTCAAAGCAACGCGGTTTTATTTTAGGTCAGAAGCATTTAATTCAAAAGCCTGGGCAAATGTAAAAACGTTTGTGGGGGGCCCCCTTCAAATAAAATAATGGTGTTAAAGTTGCATGGGGAGATGAGACAATGAGACCGTCTGTAGTGACTGCAGAAAACAAGCAGAAAGATTCACTCAAGTTCCAGGAGCTAGCCCTGATGAGTACTCCCACTTATTAAAAAACCTATACAGCACGTGGTGTAATGACTTGCACAATGGACCCTCAGCCAGAGTTGACCAGTTCAATAGTTCAATCTCCTGGTGGAGATGGTAAAATTAGGCAAACTTCTTAAGAACTTCCTCCGTCCACCCAGCAATATAAAAATGGGTGCCCAGCAGTTGGTAGAGCAGCAGGCTGCGTACAGGTGGGGGGGTCCCCCCATTGTGGGTCCTGGCCCCCTCCTGCAAGATGTGGCGAAATATCCTACAGGATTTTTAGGTGGCCCTTTTACCTGCAGCTCCATAAATGCAGGGCTGCACCTTTGCCAGACAGTATATTGAACTTCTCACCTTGGGTAGCAAATGGCACAAAAAAACATTGGTGGGGGGTTCCCCACCCAGGCAAGTGAACTGACCGCACTTCTCGCCATGTTCGTCAGAGCCATCCCTGCAGTGAGCGACACCGTCGCACACGCTGCTCGCGTCGATGCAGTCCTTCGTGCCGCACTGGAACTGGCCCGGTTCACACGAGTCCGTCGCTAAAAAAAGGAGAGAATCGTTTGAAGGAACAAAAAAAATAAGAAACAATGTATACCACACGTGAACTGTTGTTGGGGGCGTGCCTTGTATAGCAAGCACGTAGGTCAGACCAGTACGGTGCACGAGAGGAACATATGGAGAGCACCATGAGCACCAGTGTTGGTGTACGGTGCTTTTTCTGCAATATTTTGCCGTCTTATCGTCTTGGATTCTGTTTGCACATAGTCACTTTAAGATTTTTTCTTGTTCATGTTTTCTGTTGGTTGCGGTTGCACCCGATTCAAGAGCCAAATGGCTCACAGAGCTATACCTAATAAATGAACTGGAACATGCTGGGTAGTGTTTTGTGTGCACAGTGCTAGCTACACCTGTACCGAACATCCAACCTCTGAAGAGGCAGAGTTGACCCACCCAAAGAGATTGACATTTTAACACCGGTGCAAATCAACAATCCTGGACTCAAATCTTGGGCCACCAGAAATGTAGCAGAGTGGGTTTGCACAAAACTCATCCGGTGGCGCGAGCCTCACCGTTGGGCGGGCACCGGGCCTCGTCACTCCCGTCAGGGCAGTCCAGTTGCTCGTCGCACAAGTTGAACGCAGGGACGCACACGGAGCTGTTGACGCAGGGAAACTCGCCCGGGCGGCACGTCCCCATCGACGCCTGGTATTCTGGAGACACGGGAGGGTCGGGGAAAGGTCACCGATAGTCTTCATTACCCAGAGATTAGGAGGATTTACTGACCGAGAGCCATGTGCAAGAGTTGGGCTTCCGTGGCACGTGCACAGACTCACGGCAGCTGTGCTCATCGCTGCCGTCCTTGCAGTCTTCTGCGCCGTCACACTTCCAGCTGCCGTGCACGCACTCCCCGCTGCCGCAGCGGTAGCCGTTCACCTCGCAGTCCGGCATCGCCATCGACTCTGGGTTGCCCGACATCTTGTCACACAGCTGTGCCCACTCGTCAGAGCCATCCTGTCCGCACAGCAGCAGCATTGGTCACCGTTGGCGCTAGTGGCACGTGACAAACTGTCAGACAGCGACCGGAGACATGTCCACGTGTGGGACAGATGCCGCCGTCACCATCTATTAGATGGTGCAAAATCTAGCACTAATAAAGATCACTTACTGTTATTAGTGACATAACAAAATCCAGGTGCAGAAGTTAAACCGTACAAATACTTCACATTCCCACACAGCTATCAGAAGAGACCTGGAGTGTGGAAATTAATAGCAGGCCAAAATACGCCCAAACATTGGGCTGGGCAGTCCGCACCTGGCAGTCGGGATCTTTGTCACAAACCCAGCGGCGGGGCATGCACTGCTGGAGGTCGGCACACGCAAACTCGTGAGGGCCGCACGTGAGCTGGGGGCAGCCCATCTCGTCCGAGCCGTCGCCGCAGTCGTCATCGCGGTCACAGCGCAAGCGGCCTGCCAGGCACTTGTGGTTGGCACAGGTGAACTCGTCTGGCAAGCATGTTACATTGCCTGCACACGCATGGTCAGGTGGGGGAGGGGGGGGGAATGAGTGAGGCCGCAGGAAATGCCCAGGGTGGCACAGTCAGGTTTTTTTTACAATCGGGTTTAAGTGTCTTTTTAGATTAAACCTGATCATCCGAAATTGGGAGAAATCCGGTTTAATTGGTTCTAATTGCAGAACCGCACTTCGCCAACTTCTCAACGATGGGCTTCATACAGTCCAAGCTAAGGAACTCGGTGTCCACGATTGTGGAGAAGCTCGTGTTCATCAAGACCAACCTGCCCGCTGAATTCTACGACTACCGTGCCCAACAGCCCCGAGTACGATAGCAGCCCAAGCCTATCAGCGTTTCGTTTTCATTAAACCCAGGTTTTAATTCCCCGAAAATCAGGTTTAATTGTATTCAAGAAAAAACCCAATGCCTGCCGCTGGAAAAAAATCAGGTTTTCCCACCCATGGGAAATGCGCACACCACCTTTGTTTTGGCAGCAATCAGCCCTTGTATATCCAGTTCGCATGTTCTCCGCAGTTGTAGATTTTTTTTGGGTCCTCCAGTTTCCCTCGCCACACTTATTGCATTTGGTGGCAAAACATTCCTCGACGAGCTACCTTTGTCGAGTTATCATGTGGCCAGGTCACTTCTGAAAGAGCTATGGGCTTTACCGGATAAGTTTTGTTTATAGTTTAGCTGGTAGGAGCAGCACTAACGCACAAGTTAGCAACTGCGTTTTAGGAGCAAATTCCCTCAATTTAAAACATGGAAGGTGGAGGACGAGGCATATTAAAAACCGGCAGGGGTTGCGCGTGATCCATTTTTGTGCAATTGATGGAATTATGCCATTATTGTAATCACTACAGCTTCCCAAAGGGGTGTTGTCAAGCGATTTTTTCAAACAACAAGTTCATTATTCGCCACAAAATCATTCCACCCCCTCCAGACTAAACTCCGTTATTGTGTCCAGCAAGACACGTTCAGGAGCTAGATGCCAACCATCTGGTTTATGGACTTTTGGAAAAGGACCATTATCTCTGCAGCTCGTAGCTGCCTGCGAATTAACGGCCATGTCGCCAAAATGGACGCACGAGTTATGTTTAAGAGGTGGACACCAAACGGGAGGCCGCTGTGAGGATGCTACAGAACTTTCCTCGGGGAGGGGGGGGGTCACCTCTTGCCGTCATTATATCTCACGCTTTTCATTCATGTGCATTTGGTTTATGACCGTCAACACCTCGTTTGCTAGTTAGTTATGCAATATTTCTTAAAGACCCTGGTGTTTGCTCTGCAATTGAAGTTTTTGTTCAAGCGGCAAAACAGCGGCTGGGTAACAAGAGCATTTGTAGTTTAAATCAAACATGAACTCTATTGCCTCCCACCCAGCGATTGCATGAATCACATGGATGCAAGCTTGTTTTTTGCGTGTTTAGCCTTGTTTATTCTATTAGCTTAGAGGCATTTTGCATAACATTTTATTTTCACTTTGTCATTCAACCATGGAGGAATGCCTCCACCACTGTACAAGTCATGGGGGGGGGGGGGGGGTTTGACCATCCGTCATCACGCTGGTCAGTTCAGGATTGGCAAAAGGCAGGGCCACAAAATCAGCTGAAGTGCACAAGTAATTTTATCCATGGCCAGGAATCACGCTGGTATCTGGGTTCAGTGCAATGCTGCATGTAACCAAACGCATCACCACTGCACCGATTTGGACACGTTATAAAAATGGGGGTTTTCTTATCGCGACATTCCATACATGTTCCATTAGCATGAGAATAGCCCTTAAGCCGATGTGCAAAATCATTACGTGGCTACAAAATTACTTGAATCGTTGTAACCGAAATAAGCATATTTGCCAAACACTTGATTTACCTCAATAGAACACAGAATGTCTGCATTCAAATGCACAACCCACACCAAGGCCGTTTGAGTTAATTTTTTTACATGGATGATGCAGTTTAACCAGTGGCCCAGCTAATTTATAAGTGGAGATGAGTGGCGTGCGAGCACGGTAGCAACAACATTGCAGACAAGTACAGGTACCCAAGGAGTATTGCACAACTAGTTAAATGGTAGACACCTATAGGCCGTGACGTTAGAAACCTCGCGACTGACGGACTTAAAAACCGGTACGTCATTAGTCATTGTACCGTGGCTGACATTGCCTACCCAACGTTTACACAACGTGGCGACACCGGCTCTGGACAGACCTACGGTGGTTTCACTTCATTTGATGCCATGCTCTCATCTTCACCCGACAGCGGTCAGCGTGAAGCAGTGGCCAAGTAACCCCCTTGCAGTGTGGAGAGGCCCCTCGCCCAGCTGGGTTTGCCACAAGCGTGGGGGAAGGCGACACTGCCAGCCACATTAAAAAAGGCAACCAAACAGGAGTTCTGTAACACGACATCTACCGCACAAAAAGGCGCTCCCCCTCTGGTGGATGTACTCCAAGGACATCAACCTTCAGCTGACACCACAATCCATCAACCACCACCAGCAGTTCAAGTGCAATGGAACCCACCCAGAGCCCACTTTACACTGCTGAATAAAATGTATAATCTGCGTAGTTTGACAACGCACGCGTGTTCTTTGTCCAAGTAAAACATATATGTACACCTCTTTCTTGGTGCATTTCTAGCTTTCATTCTATTTCCCACCTCCACGCATATGTCTACATTTCCAATCCATCCTACAAAGATAAAACGTAACTGCGGGGGTCCCCCTGAAGGCGACCTACTCCAAAGAGGATGCTTTTTACAATGGCATGCGTGTCGTCTTTAGTGTTGACCCTGCGATATTCTGAGAAGGGCCTCGCTCAAACCAGGTGGTGACCGAGCAAGGGAGCTATGCCAGTGGGCTAGTTCAGCCCTCCAAACAGTGCAAGTGTCTGGGGTCAAGGGTGCTCGAAACCCTGAGATAAAAGAACAGTCCGGCAAAGCATCTAGGGGAGAGATTTTGGGTTGTGTCTTTGGTTATAACAACTTGAGTGCAATCCTACAGCGCCCCCAACTGCAAGGGGATTGTATTAACGGGTTAGCTTGGCCAACAAGTTTGTGCAAAATTAAGATAGAGATCAACATCCTTGGCTTCAAAATCAATGTTTGCCAGCCCAAGGGTGGGGTCAAAATCTCTCCAGTCTTCTGTAGGCAAGAAGTTTGGAGACTAAAATTAATCTTTAGGTTCACACCAAGTGACGAATATATGCACATCATATGGAAATTGCGTTTAGACCAAGGGACGAACGAGTTAAGCATGACAAATGAGTCACGAGATTGGCGAATCATTACATGCTGCAGCGTGAACATTCAACTTGACTGCCCATGACGAACACTGCCAAACGTTTCCTCGCTGCACGTCTTGGTGCCAAATATGGGATAGTCAATTAAATTTCGATGAGTCAAGGGAATCAAAATAACGCCCCAAATGCCAAAACCCTGACCCCCATCTACAACTTCCCCTCCTCTTGATGCAAAAGTGCTAAAAGTACCCAAGGCTGTCAAAAACCACCAGTCACCCTTCTATATTAGAACGTTGCTCCTCCCGTTGCCCATACGCCGAAACTCATTCCCCTAGTCATCCATGCTCCGAACTCCCCACCATCCAGGCCAAACCCCCTCGTTTACTCTGCTTAGGACCTGCCTCTATGCCAACTTTTACAAATGGCCAAATTATGTTCAAAAGTTATACAAATGTAAAGTTTATCAATTGCCCAATATATCTGCATAGCATAGATGTATACAAAAGCTCTCCCATACAGCTTTTAGACTGCTGGGGCAAGTACTACGATGAACACCATGAAGGCCAGTAACATCACCAAGGTCAGTGGCTGCCAAGTCTCCCTAGTGATGTTTACGCACCACACAAGGTAATAATTTTAGGTCAAGTCGACCTAGGAGAGGCTCCGAGCCAGTTCAGACAAGTCAAATTGTTGGTGGTTGCGAGCGAGAATCATTGTTATCGCAGCAAGCGAACCACCACTCCCCCACCAGACCTACCCATTATTTATCCACCTATGGCCTAACACCCACGGGGTTCCTGTACAGGGTCTTGGGGGAGATGTAGCAGCACTTACATGGACGCCGCACAAGTTGCACAGCACCGTTAACCCAACGAAAGGCCCCCCCCTCCCACCGCAGTCCCACTCACCGCAGTCCAGTTCGTCGGCACCGTTCTTGCAGTCGGTTTCTTGGTCACATCGCCACGCCTGGGGTATGCACTGGGCCACGCTGCCCCCGCAGCTGAAGTCAGTGGCGAGGCATGTCCGGTGGCCTACACATGCACGCACACCCGCCTGTTATTTAGCTTCACAGACGAGGTAGGCAGAGGGGGGGGGGGGGATCTATTGAGGGGCAAGCATGGCACACCACAAGGAAGTGTCAGAAAATCATGGCCTTTATCTCCTTAAGTGGACAAGTGTGTAATGAAATCTTTCACAGAATGCACCAGGATCACACTTAAGGACGCTTCAATCTTGGGCAGACCCAGTACAGGTTCAGACATTATGGTGCCGTATGGGGGGGTTGCACAAAGTGGAAATAGAATAGAGACCATCCAGCAGTGGATAGATCATGGTTGTACACTGTCCATTGGATAATTAGAAATCAGTTTAAGATCCAAAGCACACGTGGATAGTGGCGTAAACAACATTCCTCTACATTGCCACTAGGCTGCGAATGCCTAGTGATGGTACATGCACCACTTGCAGAAGTTCCCGGTTCAACTCCTGCAGGTGCGATAACTTGCACGCCACCTGCCTCGGTTAACGTTACCTATCACTTCACCCACAAAGAGTAGGCCACCGTGTGCCAGCACCACAGCTAATTACCAAATTGGGATCAACAGCAATCACCCCTTACTGGCAGACCATTGTCCTAGGTCACTCCTGCAAAGGCGGCAATCCTGGTCTATCAAGACGGCACTAGGTTAATAAAAAACAAACTCTGCAATGGAGACAGATTGGGAGTCAAGCGTTTGCCAAAATCCTTGAGTATCTCAAAAATGCCTCTTGAATATCTCCAAGCATTACAACTTGACGATTTTACACAGCCACACTACAGTTCGTAACCTTGCGTCAAGTTCATTTGTTAAATTGCGGATACCCTAATGGACCGTGTATATTTTGAGTGGCGGGACAAAGTCCAGAAGCAACGACTATCCATCTAAAAGGCAACAAATGTAAATAGAACAGAATTCTACCACTTGTAGATTGCAAGAATCTTAAAACCCAGTGCAGCTAATTGAAGATTAGCACGAGCAACATCCAGAACGATACCTACTAGAATCACTCAGGAATGTCGGTCCTTAACGCTCGTGACGTCACTCCATAGACCAGCCCCCCTAATTAATATTCATGAGCAAGTGACGTCACTCAAAATGGAACAGGATCCTCATTAATAATTATTAGGTAACGTCCTCCAAAGGCACACCCCCCCCATTCATAATAATTAGCGGCTGACGTCACTCCACATGGGGGGCCAAGGCACCTCCTCCCCCCTCCCTGGCGTCAACTTTCAACTCGCACGTCACACAATCTCCATCACGCTATTGAGACAAGTAAAAAGGACGTCATGATGAACAAGGGATTATAACCTTAAAATGAAAGAGGTCTGCGTCACCGCGCCCTTACAAATTTCACTCATTAATGCAATGAATATCACGTCAGTCTGCTTTTTGCTTGCAAGTTTCAGATTTACTGCAATACACCCGTCCTTGGACGGGCAAAGGAGAGTTTGGAATATTTGGGGAATTTCTCACCAAGGTGACAAACCCTTCGTGGAGGCCAAACGGCCGACGTCAAGAGCGCAGAACCCCCAAGTTAAAAAAAACAGTTTTGCCCACTTGCTAATTAAACCATGGTCACTCATAACTGCCCAAAAACTGGTACGTGAACATTTGGCTATTCCACTTGGGCAGATCACCAGCTATGTACAATTGAAATGTTTTGGCATCTTCTGCATGTGGAGAGGTCTAATGGGATGTAAAAACCGATTGCTGGTATAATTTTCCACAAGCTACTTAGTCAAGCTATGTAACTTAGTGGGCTTTACCTGGTCAAATAAAGAGCTTAATTTCATTTGTACATGCGATTTTCTTACCTTTCTATACTTTGCACCGTTTTTGTATTGTGGGTGCAGCTTTGACCCACCCCTACTGGACATGTAAAATATCTTCATAGCTCATTGGATTCCTCCAGTATAAAATGAATATTCTAATTCTACAGTAACACCAAGAGGTTTTTACTGGCATGATGCTCTTACAGGGTGGTACACTAGGCAAGAATTCCAGGGAGTGGAAAATAAGTGGGGGCAAAAAAGCAAGCGTCGTAGAAATAAACCCTCTAAAAAGGAGTCTTTCCACGGAATTTGGCCATTACAGTAAATATCTTGTATGGGGAATAATTTGGCACTCCATGTCGAACACTGAAGTATTACACTTGTCAACCCCATGTGTCAATTCAATGTACTAGCCACTCCTGGGCCAGTCTGCACGACTATCCAGGTAGCAGAAAAGTCACTTGCCAAAGTTACATTGATTGGGCAGATCTATTAAAAGCTACTTACCCGTATGGGGTCCTCAACAATGTGCCTTGTGCAACCAAACATGGGGGTCGGAAAGTAAAACATTATGAAGCACTTAACCAGATGACATTGCCTTCCTCTGCAAAACAAAAATTTCCCCCTCGGCAAATACACCTATTCACCTACCTTGAAATAATTTGTGAAAACCAAAATACTCGTACATCCAGGAGAGGATCTCAAGAGCTTCTACCCGAATGCAAGGGCCTTTACACCAGCAGTGGAGCAAAGGCGTCACAAGTTCAATCACGTGTTTTGGTTATCTGGGCTGCTGCGTGCCCTTCACCATCCCACACCTCGATAAATCTAGCTACCCATTTACATAAACACTATTCACAAAGCCCACCGATAACAATTTCGGGTTGCAGCAGCACAAGTGCTTTCGCCGATTGCGAGCGCGCATAGCTCCGGTTGATTGACGGCCACTTACTGCAATGCTCCTGCGATTCGTCTGAACGATCCACGCAGTCCACGTCTCCGTCGCACAGCCATCGCAGAGGGATGCAGTCGCCGTTGCCGCAGACGAAGTCGCGCTCGGAGCAGGTGTGCTTCGCTGCAGAGCAGAACACGCGCACACCCACATGATAGGTTTCCCACTTAGCCAGTATGTTGTTTAGGGTTAAGGGTATCAAAACGAAAAACAAAGACTTTTACCAATTAAGGCACAGAGCTACCATAGCTTTAGAAGAGACCTTCTCCACAAATGATAGCTAAACTGGCTTACAATGGTAACTTACACAGCAGTCAAAGTGTAAAACAGATTCTAAAAAGTGGGGCAAACAGGAGGACCCAGGGAGAAAAGCAAACGCCAAATACACAGGTGTTAGGGTTGGGATTCAACCAGAGGTTGCAACCGGGTACCCGATATCCGTACCCTACCTAGCTGGGTACGGGTACCAGTACGCGACCCTGGTGCGGCCGGGTACAGGTAAGGAATCAAAACCCCTTTTGTGACCTCTGGATTCAAACGCATGTCCTCCTGTATACCAGGTAAGGTGGTTAACAGTGATACCCATGTAGCAAGTAGCTGTGAAGGTCGGCACAAGGCAGTAGGGTGGCCCGCACAATGCCCAGCTGTTGTCCTCTCAGTACTCGTGTTTATGCATCGCAAAAGCAAATTTAAACCCACAAATCGACCGCGTTATAATACTTGCCGAGGGAAACAAACCCTGGTCACCGGGATACTAGCAGCGCATGTAAACCACTACGTGACAGTTCGCCACATGCCCACTACAAACTTAGTTCCCACGTCAAGCCTTTTGCTAAAAAAGACCATCGGGGCAAAGAACATGTCAGACGACCACATCAATTAGCCACCCACTTAGGTGCAGCATTTGTACACATCTAACATTTTATTGTTGATGTTGACAAATCCGACTAGCCTTTATCTCCAGCAAGTTTCAAGATGCGACCAAAGTACGTTTCATTAGGAAAGTGAAATGGGTTGTAGATTTCCAAGAAACACGGCACTGTTGAGCACTGCAAAACCGTTCGTCAGAAATCCAGAACACCAACTCCTAACCCCTGCGATGCCAACCCTCAGTGGCTTTCAACTCAAGCAAAACAAATCCCAACAAAAGCAGTGGCAGGGTTACATGGCTCTACATTTAACCATTAAACAGGGAAGAGCAACCAAGCAATTAAATACCATTTCCACGCGACAATAAATTAAACTAATGAGTGGTGGTAATGTAGTTGAAGTTGGCCATTTTAGACAAAGTGCTGCATCTCACGGCATGTGGATTTCTCATTTAGGGTCACTTAGGCTCGCCAAACATAGGATTTAGGCCACCCCTGTTGGAAGTTGTGCAATTTTGACCCAGTGCTATAAGTTCAGCCAAAATCGGTGAAGTGCAAAAGGTTTAGGTTGCAGTGCATTAAATTCAGGCACAGTGGAACCTTGGAGGCAACACTATTTATTAGCCAACACAACAGGTAACACCTAGCATTAACAGGATTAACGCCATAGGGTGGTAGCCACCATTCCCAACTTAGCTAACACAGGGATACTACATTACTGGACCAGGACAGTTCAACACGCTGCCTGATCCACTAGCGGAGACCGAGGATCGTGAACAGCGGCTTCATTCCCAGAGTTGACCCAGCAGAACAGGCCAGCTCTCAGTCCACACACCGCTTATAACCACTCCAGCGTGGCTGTCTGTCCCAGGCCACGCCTCCCTTCCCGATCCTTCGGGAAGGCCAGAGCCCCCCCAACCACGGGACCCCCCCCTGGAGACCTTCCCCCCCCCCCCCCCCCCGATCTAGTCACGTGCCCTGTTGGGTTCACGTAGAGTGTCACAGCCGGATACGTCTACAGTCCCCATACCGAGCTAACAGTAGTGTCGTTCTACTGTACATGTATAAAGCCAATTAACACCGTGACCTTCCTCTGTGTGCTGTGGTCCAATCTTACAAAACTATCTCAAGGCCGTATTTTAGACATAAAACGTGGTAATGCCCGAGGATTTTCATCCACCTCGGGTCCTTTACTAAACAAAAAATCGTGGATAGAATAAATATCTTGACGTGGATTTCATCGCAGCAGTTAAAACTGGGTGCAAATTGGACAAGGAGTTCCATTATGTAACACTGATGAAACCTTTATAAAACCCGTGCTTGTGGAATCAGAGCTGATATAATAAAATGTAACCATCACCCCAAAAAGGTGTGATTTTTTTTAAAGCTTTAAAGTGATTATACCAGGCACTGCATAAACAAAAAATCCATGCCAGGCATCAATTGCCTTAAAAAGGAGTGGGCAAAAGAAAAACGTGCTCATTGTTGGGGTTCTCTTGGTTGTAATTGCAATATAAAAAGGACGGGAACCATCGCGTTAATCTCAATTTTCCACACTGCAGGTGGCACGAACTAGCACCCAGTGGAGGACGACGTAACCATGGGAACCACGACTGAGGAGGAGTGGTGCCTGCGGCCTGCACGCACCTCGCCCTGCCCGTGGGTCAGCACAGCAGCGATGGGGCTTTGTGCAGCACTTGCCTTAAAACGCGTGGTTATTAGGTGCCAGAGACTGCGAAAAGCCACCGGTTGTGATGGGGGGGGGGGAATGGTGGGAGGCAGCGTGAATGGAACCATAAAAACACTGGGAACACTGATAAAAAAATTTACCCGTAAAAACAAAGTTTTTCAATATAAATCCTTTATATGCGTGGCGGCTAGAGTCCTCTCGTCCTCTGGCTTGAGATGGCTGCCACCTATGGGTCAGATGAGTGTCTGCCACCATTAAGCAATAGGTAATTAAATATTTATTTATTTCCCCTAAAGTGGAAAAAAATTTCACGCAAATTATTTCTCACGCACAATGAGCCTGTGTGCAAAATGTCAGCTCGAGTGGATCACGGGAAGTGGGTTAAAAAACGACCGAAAGATTTGCACGGTCCTAAGCAAGCAGGCACAGGAACTTAAAAGATTTTAAAAATACAAATCTGCGACCCTGCTATTCACGGCACCAGTTAACCATGGGGTCTGCAATAACGTAGATTACATTTCACCTCGATCATCAGCAGCAGTTGTTCCCCATCATGCAGTGTAGCTTCCCATGCAATTTTAGCCAACGAATCACGGCAGATGAAACGCATAATTCCCATAATCATTTCCTCACTTGCAAGTGCAGCAAATTCACAATCACGGATAAAATGTGATCCATTCTGCAAATGAGTTACACCAAAGAATCACCAGGCGGATAGATGGGCAACCCGTTCATGCAAGCACCAGGACTTAACAATGAACAAGAGACTGACAATCTGCTGCAATAATAAAAAAAACGATAGCCGTCCCTGTAAAAACTAGACTGCCAACAGCTAACCGGTAAATTTGATTTAAAGCTTTTGTGACTGCAGTGATTCATATTTTTGGTTCTTTCGGTAAAGTCATGTAGAAGTGAAATAATAAAATTATATTAATATAAAACATAGCCAACTGGTAGTCTAATGCACACGAGGTACCATTAACACCATATGGCCCAACAGGGAAGAGGGATTATAGCTGCAATTATTTTCAATACATGCACTGCTTGCCATATCTAAATGTCAAAAGAATATGATCGGTTCAGAAGCTAGAACCCATGACCTTAGTATTGCAGGTGCAGTGTGCCAACCATGAGACCACCGGAGCATCTGGACGATTTAGAGTAAAGAAACTAAAAGGGGGGGGGGTTAACCTCTCCATTATCCCCTTGTGGACAACCACCTAACACCTTTGACAGAAAACTTAATTCCTTCAGTTCTAAAAATCCTTCATGTTAAACATCAAAGGGGTTCAGATTAAACGGAACACTTTTCGGATAGCCCCCCCTACCCATATTCATCATTCCATCACCCTACAAAATGACATTTGGCATTTAGGCCAGAGGGCACTCTTTGATAGCAGGGGTTGCTGTAAATTATTGTAAGAGTGGCAGCCGGGTCGCCTGCAGTACTTGGAATGCTGACTGGCAGCCTGGAGCGTTATCGGTGGGGGGCAACGTTGAATCTAACTTGCACGGCTGTTAGGAATTTAAGATCGTACGATCGTTGCGCGTGCTTTCATACCAGCCCTCGCAACCCAAAATGTCCATTTTGGCCAAGGGCATTTAGAGGCCATTTGCACAGAAAATATAACATTGTACCCTCTGCTAAAAATGAAAGGCAAACGCGAGCAACCAAGCAATGTTCATGTGCCGTGACTGTATTAACGGTAGACCTAAAATTTTGCCAAGGGGGGGTGGTGGTTTAGGAGTCTTGACACCACCTATTACCTGCTACCACGTGCAAATTAGGGACAGTGCCAGCTCTGACCGACATGGCCAACCAGACAAAATTACTCAAATGGAACACTGCACAAAAATGCTAGTGGCTTCATATTACTCGGCAGTCACGGAATCAGGTGGGCCGTTGAACAAGCCACCAGGTGGGTTCATAAAGCAGTGCAATCAACCAGATAGATGCAGGCCAAGTTGAAATTGACAGCAGATGCTCGAATAAAATGTGCAACACCACCACAAAGCATACATTCGAATACGTAACTGTTTTTTAAGCATTGAAATAAAAAGCCAGGTAATGAGATTTTTTTTTAAAGGACCTTTTAGACCTTTCTCTTGCTTTACTTCAACTGAACATCATATCACTGCCATGGTTAAAGCCAAACTGTGGCCTTGCTGGGCAAGATATGCCAGAGTAAAGCCCAGTCGCAGCGACTTAAATGCAAAGACTCCTACACCTGCAAGATTTCCCCTTCGAACGATCTGAAACCGTCAACATTTGTCAAGTACCACACAGCATTAACATTAATGGGACCTTTTTGCAAACAATAAAAATAGGCATTTACCCCTTTCTGGAAATGAAACCGGTGTTAAGATGTACAATCACCAAGTATCATTGACATTCCATAGAAGTCTGTAAAGGATAACCCCTAGTCGTCCATCGTAAGGCAATAACAAATGCTACACTCGCACTAAAAAAAGCACGTCAGTAAGTTGTCACTCATGGAATAATCGCAATGTAATAAGGAGACCACAATTAGTTTGCAGCCAGATCTGCCTAATTGTTGGCTCAGACATTTATAACAAGACTCGGCTGGGTTCAGATGCGAGGCTACCCAGGAATAAAAACAGGTGATGCGAGGTAGGCCAGGAGATGGCAATACAGAAATGGATGTAATCCCTCACCAATGTACTTTAGTTTGGATCCGAAACCACTTTTGCAGTGTTTAGTTTCTGCCAGGTAACATTGCATCTTGCCAGAAGCCACAGCCATTTCACAAACCACTGGTTAAACACCATAACACCTTCCAAAGCCTCGAGAGACCAAGAAGCGGGAGGTTAATGGGTGAGGCATTGAGGGGCAGGGCTATAATAATGCACTGGTTATTTACAAGCCGTTCCAGTTCAAGGTCGTGTTCTAGGGAGAAACTTTGTTAATCCCCAACCCCCATTCTGGTACACTAGTGCCTAGGGATTTTAATCCACTGGGTCACCTGTTGTAAAGTGGTTATTGGCACAAGTCCATGCATCCATCGAGGAACTAAAAACATGGTTAAATCGATCCATTTAAAACACCAACCTCCTCTGTTATAGTACATTTCCCTTTGGGCAAGTATGCTGTTCATTCCTACTTAACCAAGCACACTAGTGCAAGTTACACTAAAAATCCAAGGCAACAGTGCAAACAAGCAGAGGACATTTTCTGTGGAAAAAGACTTTGGGTGCCCTAGGAGGTTCAATCGAGTGGCATTTCTGCAGAATTGTCAGTAAAATGGACTCTTGCTCAAGTCACATCAGACACATCGTACATGGCCTGTGAAAGAGCCCTCAAGGACAGTGGGATCATACAGATTCGTGAAATCCCCAAAGCTACTTGGGAAATATGAAGTGGCCAGGTGATGGTGGCACAAATTGGTTAAAATTCACACAAGCCCAAAGGTTTCAATGTCCTTGCAAATGCAGGTTGGAAAATTATCTAGTGCACACTTAATAAAAATCTGGTGCCAACTACTGTCATCAAGCACGCCCCTACAGTGTTGGGATTAGAAATGGCCAACTCGTGTGACCCCAGAAGCCATGCACCACCCAGGACCCATTTCCCAACAATGTAACATTATACAAATACGATCCCATTGTGAAAGTTCTGGATGGACGTTTCTTTCATAACAGAACCAACTTTAAATTTAGGGAGAATAATCAAGCACCAGTAACTCCCCACAGGAGTCGAGTTTTAAACTCCCAGCACAGGGCGCAGTGTCCGATATCACCACGAACACGATACCTCTAAAATTTGTTTGTGGCTACTTGGAATTTTGGGCCCTTGGGTATGTACTTTGGAACCGAAAGATCAGGCGTAAAACTAAAAGTGCTTCAGGAGCACAAAAGGCAGCTGTAAAATCATGGCCAACCTTTAAATCCACGCCAATGTTCAGATGCCCTCAACACGAGTGCAACCCACCGAGTGCCAGATTTCACTAAAAGGACAGCGGCAGCTTCTGCTGTCACATGTGCTTTGGGCTCAGACACGCAGTCACGCGTCACCAAAACCCAGAATAAACCCTGGCAGTGTGGGGAGGGGGGGCACGATATCTTTAGCCACGTCCAGACAGCCAGCTGATGCCAAGTTGTGGGGTTCATGCACCACTGCTAGGAATAATTAAAGTCTGAATAATCAAATATTTATCATTTAGAGCAATGCCAACATGTAGCTTTGAAGACTTCCTTATGAAACCCAAAAGGGGCATTATTAATTGACCAACTTACCACAAAAAGACATCCCATTTGACCTTTTTACACAGTAAATGGAAAGCTGCATAACGCATGGGGTTGACCAAGTAGCATTATACGCTAGGCCGACTTTGTAATACCATTCTTAAATGTGGTGACATTGCGGATGTCACTGCAATGCCAGCCCTAGACGGGCACGGCGTGCGGTGTATTAACAGCGCGGGCACCACTCGTGGGTGCAGTACTGGCCCTGGAGCGGCGTGGCGAGCGCTGACCAACAGCACCGGATGGTACCACTCTGCGTGCAGTGCTAACCCCTACAGGATAGGGTGCGAGTGTCAGCCTCGGAGAATGGGGTTACTATAGGCCGTGGCACTCTGGTTGACCCCAGAGGACACGTGAGCAGTCAAGTCTACACAGGGCCCCCCCCCCCCCCCCAAGTGGGGGCTAGGGGTGGTCATGTGTCAGGGCCAAGATCCTGCTCGAGGGTTCGAAGGTGGGCATGGCTAAGGGCAGAGCCAGCCACGCCAGAGGATACAAGCTGGGTCCCAGAAGGGACCAGCTGCTGTTCATCCTGAACAATCTACGTTTTAAGTCCTACAGAATCGCCAACACGTGGACCTGGACCCAAGCTGTGGTCCGGTCAGTTGTAGCTAGTGTAATTAGTGCAGTTAGCCTCGTGGTACACCACCACAGGTTGATAGTGTCAAGGGGTAGTTACCGTGTGTTGGTGTTAATAAATGTGTTGCCTCCAAAGAGTACATCCGCGACTGTTGAATCCACTACAAATGCACACCATGAAGCAATTAGACAAGATAAATACTACCTAGGGTAGGCTCATGGTAGCTTCACTTACAACCGAAATGACCACAAAATGAAACTTAGAGTTTTTATAGGAGGCAAGCACTGTTACACCCCAAAAAGGTTGTGCCATTTCAAAGGTCTGCCACATAGGCCAACATATTTGGGGGAAGTGCCGTTGGAGGAACCTGGAAAGGCCAGGATGGCACGTAAAAGGCAATGTGGCTAGCACCCAACCGTAGCGCAGATGTTCAGCCATTTTTAAGGCCGAGCCGACCTAGGGGAGGACGGACAGCTTCAGGATTACGCTGCACTTACGGTATCAGTAGGTGGGCGTTAAGACACCTGGGGTGGTTCACAAAGCAGTGTAACCAACCAAATGCCTCAATGCAGGCCAAGTTCAGACCACATCTTGAATTAGCACCATTGCCCAAGTACGTTGTAAAAAGTTCAACATGCACACATTCCAGCATAGATGTTGGCCACAGGTACAAATTTAAGAGGCCCAGCAAAAATCCGTCCTCGTAGGCACTTTTGCATCGCACCCCCCCCTCCCACATACTCCACACCCCCCTTTGTAGAAGGCCGTGTTCCAACCACGCAGCGTAAACTCACGGCAGTTTTCCTCGTCACTGTTGTCCGGGCAGTCAAGGTCACCATCACAGCGCCAGGCGAGAGTCACGCACCGGCCATTACGGCACTGGAACTGAGTATCCAAGCAAGCAGTCCACTCGCCTGCAGCAACAGAACAATTGGGGGGGGGGGGGGGGGGTGAGGTTTTCCTAGGACAAGAACACTCGTAAGACAAGTTGTGCAAAGCAATAAAAACTGGCCTTATTTTTGAATCAAGGTTCGAAATAGTAATTTGCCCATGAAATTGGTGCATTTGAATTTTTTTCCAGACAATGGTGGTTTTGCAACTTCCAGTATTTTCCTGAATTTAAAATCAGGGTTGCAAAACAGATTTTTTTTTTTTGCATTATACATGGCCAACCGTGTTAATCTGTAGGTGGATTGCAATTGTAAATAGGTCACAATTATAATATTCATGGCAGACAAGACGAATGAATTGGGAGGTGAACTTGTACTTCCGGTACAGATTACTAAAAATAGGGGGGGGAAAGCAAACGACAATCATAGCAGTAATAATTGTGTCACATCATGAAAAAAATATTGCAGCAACCATAAAGAACCACGAGTGTGCCTGGGGAAGAGTCTCCACCCAAAGCAATGAATTGGTGGTGATAAAGGGGACAAAACAAAAACTTGTCCGAACGGTCGAGAAAAGTGCAACATTAGAGCAGGCGGTGCGCAGTGGGTGTGGACTGCACGATGAACCTGGGTGACCAGAGCTCCATTGCCCACAATGGCCAACGTCAGAAGTAGATAATGAAACCGATGCCGTGCCCACCTCACCACTCTTCAGCAGCCCAAACTGAAGTGGTCAAGGTAAACCAAATCTGCCATTCAACCCCCAGACTGATTACTACGTTGTCTGTATGGGTGGGAAAGATTTGACGCATCCCATTCTTATAAAGTATTTCTATAGTGCCTTAAGGTGCTTTACACAGAATTAATAGTACATTAATGTAAATGGTGGAGAGGCGGCGCGTGAAATAGGACACGCTATGGGCAAATCGATGCGTGAATTGAAAGCGAAATTGATTGAGTGAAAGCTATGTAAGAATGAGGGAAAACGGTGGCAGTTGAGGGGGGAGGTTAAGGGGTGGTGGAAGGGAAAATGCGTTGAGCAAAAAGGTGACTAATACGGATGGGAAATTGTTTCAGTGAAGGGGGGGGCAAGGGAAAACGTAAGAGTCGATCAAGCGTGTGACAAGCTGTACGTATTTCAGCACAAACTTCAGCCCCTTTTTTACAAGATACACTCATTGAGACAAAAGTCAAGCCAACATGAAGGATGCAAATGGTACGGTAAAGTAATTTGACTTCAAACTTTCAGAGCATACCCATTGGATGGGGTCACATATCAAAAACCATCCATTCTAAAAATGTAAACGCATCACAATTACTGTATTCCAGGCACGATACCGTTTTCATAAAGACATGATCATAGTAGAACAGTTGCGAATTTTAGCGCCAAATATTTCAGGAAAGATCTCAATCGTCAAATAATCAAAGTAATTATGCTTTGGTTCTTTCGGTAAAGTCACGTAGAAATAAATTTAATAATAATCTAATTCATATTTACTTTTAATACCATATTAGCCACAAATGATTTGCCTTCAAAATGAGCAATGTGTGGGGGGGGGGGGGGCAATCCTTTGAAAGGATTTTATGAATTGAAAAGAGCATTGTGTATATTAGTCATAATAGCCGAGGTCTGCAACCACACCCTTTAAAAACTTGAAGCAGAAAATAAAGTTCAAAACGAAAATGGTCTTCAACCAAATGTCCCAAGGCAGAATGCGGTTGAAGCAATTCTACATTTTAGAGTGTTTCCAGCACCACTTAAATGCCACACCTGTAATAAAATTGTCACAGCAGTGAAAACGGCATTATTTTAACGGCTGATCATAAGCACAAGGGCAAAACTAATAAAAGCCTCACAGCAGTCCAACAGAATTTACATGAAATTATAGCCTTCATACTGCATTCCGAATGTTTAATCAACAGCATTGCAAGCAAAGCTGGGCAGTCCAATTTACTGGCAATTGTACAATGCTGGTCAGTAGTGACAAAAATCATGGGGGGGAAGGCAAATGTAATGCAATTTAAAACCCTGCATCAATCCACTGCTACACGAAGCTCTCCCCCCCCTACACCAACATGGCAAAACATCGGTCAAATTCGAAGCATGATTATTTTCCATGGCACAAGATTGGTGATGTGCAGTGACTTCAGCCAGTTGATCTGTAGTATCTCAAGGGGCCATTAGCCCAAATCGTTAACCTAATACAGAACACTATTTGTTACGAGCCAGTGTTAGTCAAATAGCTGGGGACAATACGGCAGTTGTGAAAATAACTCGTGCTCCAAGGGCTCTGTGGGAGAGTCATGGGGGTTTGTCAAAAAAAACCCATTTTATTTCGAATTTGGTAAACTAAAAATAGTAAGAGTTGCAATGCACCCAAATAAGACTGGCCTGTAATAAAACAATTTATGTTGGAGGTCAACTTGGAGCTAAAGCTTTGTAAACAGATGTCTAGTGGGGGCAGCTAAAAATGTTACAAATACAAAAGCACAGGAAAACCAAAGCACAAGGTAAACAAACCGAACATTCCAAAATAAGCCATCCTACTAGGTAAAGCCCACCAAGTTATATCAACTCGAGTCAAGAGACCTGCCACCGATGACAGCGCAACGAAGTGGCTTAGGTGGACATGTGCAGCAGCTAATAAAAATCAATGCATGTGGGTTCTAAAATGGAGGGGGAAAAAAAACACCCCCAGACGACCCAGGAGAAATAAAACCCACACGACCAGAGAGAACATGCAAATCCCAATAGACAAGAGTCTGGGTTGGGATCTAACCCCCGGCCTTGTTCATACCAGGCGAGGAAGCCAACACCAAAGCAGTCCTTAAAGAGCCGCATGTGGCTCCGGCACATTTCCAACCAGTGGACCACATTGTACCCCAATGGTCAGCACAAGCTGGAGGAGGCCCGGCATACACCGACCAATTAAAATACTCAGCCACGACTAGGACAAACTCACCTCCTCCACTGGGTTCAGACCACTGCGCCAAACTACATGCCTGCGCCACATCACATAAAAATCCAAACTGTCAATGCAAATCAGCCAACAGGCCTCCACGAAGAGTAATGGGCAGGATAAGTGGATGCACCGTGTAAGAGAGCAAAATAACATCTATTATTTTTAAAGACAAACGTTATTGCACGTTAAACCATTTCAAAAACGGCCATAGGCAACAGGCGCAGTGGAAAGTAAAAAAACGATCCACTTGACAGCAGGCATGGCCTTAGACCCAGTGCAACAAAGCACTTCATTCTCAATTAATTTCAAACAGACCACCAGCACATCAGTACACGATTAGCACAAAGACAGATGGGTAGCACAGAGGGCTCACGGTTGTGGCGAGTGGTGGCATAGATGCGAGCACACTGCATTACTGGTCCAGGGCCTTTACTGGTGCCGACTGCCTCAAATGAGTACCTGGTGGTGTGTAAACATTGCCACTGGGGGAGAATTGCGGCCAGGCGTGGTGTTAGGCCACCCAGCTGTAGTGTGCCAGCCTTTAGTCGGTGCTCAATACCAGCATTTGCCCTAAAAGCATGTTAAAGGCTATACAGGGAAGCTCTTTGTCCTTGGTCATACGACTTCAGTCCAGTGCCAGCCACACCAACCTCGTCCCAGGATGAACCCTAAAAATGGGGCCCATAGAGACCCTGCCATATGACACGGGGGGGGGGGGGGGGGGCGGCTTCTCATTGCCCTGTAACATGGATGTCACTCAAAAGCTCTTGGCGATCCACCAATGCCCCTCAGACTCGATGCCACGCACAAAGTCCAGGGTTTGTTTTGGACAGACGGCAGAGGTCATCTGGGGGAGCTGCAAATTAACTGTGGCAAAGTTGTAAAATGACGATACAATAAGCAGTGGGCAATAGATTATAGTAAAACACAATTTGTCCCTGGGTAGCAAGTTATTTTTTCAATAGCGATGTCTCAAAAAGTAAAGAACATGGCTATTATTCCCCACAAACTTTGCTTGTGACATTTTAAAATGTACTTATTTTCAAATGGCAAAAACGGGTAAATTGTCTGTTTAGTCATAGTACGGAACCTACAAACGAAAAGTAACATGTTTTATACTAAAGTAATACAAAAATTACTACGAAAGATTTAGAAGAGTAGTTTGAGATTTACGATTATACTGTAAATAACTTTCACGAATCAGCCCCCAAAATGTAGTCTCCCATCATGTTCTCGTAATATTGTCCTTGGTAGCGGCATTCAAAGTCCAGTATATCCTGGTGGAAGCGCTCGCCTTGCTCCGAACGAGTACACTCCCATGTTCTCCTTGAATTTATCAAGATGAGCATCAAGGATATGAACTTTGAGGGACATCCTACAGCCCATTGTGCCGTAGCTCTTCAGTCTCAACCAGCTCCACATAGTTGTCGACCTTGTGATTGCCCAGGAAGCCACGAGCCACTGCGACAAAGCTGTTCCAAGCCGCTTTCTCCTTATGAGTGAGCTTCTTGGGGACTTCATTGCACTCCAGGATATTCTTCATCTCTGTGGTTCAACAAAGACAGCAGTTTTGACCTTTGCCTCAGACAGCTTAGGGAAGAAGTCTTGAAGGTACTTGAAGGCTGCCGACTCCTTATCTACAGCTCCGACAAATTGTTTCACAAGGCCAAATTGGATGTGCAGTGGCGGCATCAGCACCTTCCAGGGGTCCACTAGTGGGCTCCCACTTGACGTTGTTCTTGCCCACAGAGAACTCAGTCCGCTGTGGCCAGTCCCCAGCTGTGGTAGTGCAAAATTGCCTTGGAGACCCATCAGGAATACCACCATACTTTGGTTCCTTTCAGCAAGTCATGCAAGTAGAAAAAAACAAGAGCTCACGACATTGATCGTAACAAGCAATCAGGTGAGATGACAGCAAGAACTCTGCCAAAGTAGGCGAGTAGTTGTCTCACCTGACGAGGATTGCGCGTGTTGTGATCTATTATTTTTTCTACCGACATCACTTTACTGAAAGAACCAAAGAGTATGGATTACTGCAGTGAAAGCTTCAAATCAAGAAGG